CCCGGTTCCCGCCCTTTCTCGCAGTCCCCGCCCCCTCCCCAGCCCCGCCCCTCCTTCCTGATTGGCTCTCCCCGCGCTAAGCCCCGCCCCACTCACGCCACTCATCCTCGTTGTCCTGGTTACGGCGCAGCACGGGCAGGCGGCAGCCCTCGGACACCTCCCCCTGCGGGGGCGGGGCCTCGTCAGGGCCGGGGGGGCCCCAAAACCCCCGCGGGGGGTTCGGGGGGTCCCCAAACCCTTCCGGAGGCTCCCGGAACCCCTCGGGAGGTTCCCCGAGCCCTCTCCGCGCTGCCCCCCCCCGCCCGCTGCCCACCTCCGCCATTCTCCTCCCGGCCTTCGCTTCCGGCCGGCCGGACGCGCTTCCGGGATGCGGCCACGCCCCTTCCGCCGCTGCCCCGCCCCGGTGGGGGCCCCGCCCCCGGTTGGCGGGGAGCGCCCGTGGGGGGCGGGGCCTTCCCGGCAGCCGCGGTCACGTGGGGCCGCGGCGCTTCCGCGAGCGGCGGAGCGAGCGGGGCCCCCCGCGACCCCCCGGGACCCCCCGGGACCCCCGCCATGGAGGAGGGTGAGTGTCGAACCCCCCCCCCGCGCTTGTTTTGGGCCGGGGGGGCTCCCCCGGTGCTGTTCCGCCCCGGGTGACGTCGGGGGGTGAGCGGGGGGTGAGGGCCCTTTAAGGGGGGGCGTGTTTAAAGGGGGGGGGCGGCTCCTTGGAGGGGTTTGGGGGGAGACCCCTCCCTTAAAGCGACCCCCCCCTAAAGGGACCCCCCTCTTTTATTGTGACACCCCACTTAAAGAGACCACCGTTAACGCGACCCCTCCCCTTAAAACGCCCCCTCCCCTCGATGTGATCCCCCCCCCCCATTAACGCGCCCCCCGTTGTCCCCCCCAGTGACCCCCCCGGATCTTCTGCCCTTCCTCCTGCAGAACTGGGGTGCTCAGGGTGAGTGGGGCCGCCCCGGCCGGGGGTACCTGGGGGGGTCCCCACGGGTCTGGGGGGGTTGGAGGGGATTGTTGGGGTCGGGGGGCTCTGACGGGACCCCCCCCCCCCCGGTGCCCCCCCAGAGGCGGGGGGGGCAGCGCCGTACGTGGAGATCCTGGAGCAGCCCAAGCAGCGCGGGATGAGGTTCCGCTACAAGTGCGAGGGGCGCTCGGCCGGGAGCATCCCCGGGGAGCACAGCACCGAGACCACCAAGACCCACCCCACCATCCGCGTGAGTGTCCCAGTATAAACCAGTATAGACCAGTATAGACCAGTATAGACCAGTATAGACCAGTATAAACCACTATAGACCACCAGTATAAACCAGTAACGGTCTGGGACCCTCCCTGAGCCCCCCCGGTGCCCCCATCCCCGGGGAGCACAGCACCGAGACCACCAAGACCCACCCCACCATCCGCGTGAGTGTCCCAGTATTGACCAGTATAAACCAGTATAGACCAGTAACAGCCTGGGACCCTCCCTGAGCCCTCCCAGTGCTCCCCAGTGTCCCCCAAGACCCCCCCACCATCCACGTGAGTGTCCCAGTGCATCCCAGTTTAAACCAGTATAGACCAGTAACCACCTGTGACCCTCCCTGAGCCCCCATCCCGGGGGGGTTCAGCGCCCACCTCCCCCAGACCCATCCCGGCATCGCCGTGAGCCTCCCAGTACGAACCAGTACAAACCAGTACGAACCAGCGGCTGTCCCCACCAGGTGAACAACTACCGGGGCCCGGGGCGGGTGCGGGTGTCGCTGGTGACCAAGGACCCCCCCCACCGCCCCCACCCCCACGAGCTGGTGGGCAAGGACTGCAAGGACGGCTTCTACGAGGCCGAGCTGTGCCCCGAGCGCAGCATCCACAGGTGGGACCCCCTCCCCAAATCGGGGACACCCCCAAAATGGCTGGGACACCCCCACGGGGCAGGTGGGAGCACCCGAAACTGGGGAAACCCCCCCCCACCCCCAACAAACTGCGGGTGGGATCACCCCTAGTGTTGGGGAACCCCCTCTGGTGAAGGTGGTATCTCCCGAAATATTGGGGAACCCCCTGCAGGACAGGTGGGATCACCCAAAATATGGGGGGGACCCATCCAAAATAGGGGGAGCCCCCCCAAAAAGTGCAGGTGGGATCACCCACAGTGTTGGGGAACCCCCTCTGGTGAAGGTGGTATCTCCCGAAACATTGGGGAAGCCCCTCCAGGACAGGTGGGATCACCCAAAAAAGGGGGGGAGGACTCCCAAAATTTGGAACCCTCCCAGCACTTCTGGGAACCCCCAAAATTTGAGGTCCCTGCCCCGGGGTGTCCGGGGGGGGAATCCCAAAATCCAGGTTGACCCCTGACCCCCCCTGACCCTCCCTGACCCCCCAATTTTGGGCTCAGTTTCCAGAATTTGGGAATTCAGTGCGTGAAGAAGCGGGAGCTGGAGGCGGCGGTGGCCGAGCGGATCCGCACCAATAACAACCCCTTCAACGGTACTGGGAGCACTGGGAGGGACTGGGAGGAGACTGGGAGAGAGCTGCGAGTTACTGGGAGGGACTGGGAAGCACTGGAGGGCATTGGGAGGGACTGGGAGGAGACTGAGAGGGCACTGGGAGGGACTGGGAAAGCATTGGGAGGGACTGGTGGGCACTGGGAGTTACTGGGAGGGGACTGGTGGGCACTGGGAGTTACTGGGAGGAACTGGAGGGCACTGGGAGTTACTGGGAGGGACTGGAGGGCACTGGGAGTTACTGGGAGGGGACTGGTGGGCACTGGGAGTTACTGGGAGAGCACTGGGGGCTGGTCCTGGGGCTGCTGGGGGCGTTGCTGACGTGTACTGGGCTATACTGGTCTGTACTGGGCAGCACTGGGAGAGCAGCACGGGGTGGGAGTGACCTGGGGGTGTCACTGGGGGGCTTCTGGTGCCGGTCCATACTGGTTTGTACTGGTTTGGATGGCCCGGTGCCGGTCCATACTGGTTTGGATGGCCCTGTGCTGGTCCATACCGGTTTGTACTGGTTTGGATGGCCCAGTACTGGTCCATACTGGTTTGTACTGGTCTGTACTGGGCAGTGCCAGCTGAGCAGCGCGGGGGCGAGTACGACCTGGCCGCGGTCAGGCTCTGCTTCCAGGTGTGGGTGAGGGTCCCGGGGGGGCTGCGGCCCCTCCCCCCCGTCCTGTCCCAGCCCATCTACGACAACCGTGAGTGACACCTGGGGACAGCTGGGGACAGCTGGGGACAGCTGGGGACACACCTGGGGACACACCTGGGGACACCTGGGGACACATGGGGGACACCTGAGTGACACCTGGGGATACCTGGGGACACCCGGAGATACCTGGGGACACACCTGGGGACATCTGGGGACACCTGGGGACATCTGGGGACACCTGGGGACACATGGGGACACATGGGGGACACCTGAGTGACACCTGGGGGTACCTGGGGACACCCGGAGATACCTGGGGACACACCTGGAGACACACCTGGGGACACCTGGGGATACCTGGGGACACCCCTGGGGACACATGGGGGACACCTGAGTGACACCTGGGGACTCCTGGGGATACCTGGGGGACACCTATGGGACCCCCTGGGACCCCTGCTGTCCTCCTGTGTCCCCCACTGACCCCCTGTGACCCCCGGTGTCCCCTGCTGTCCCTGCTGTCCCTGTGACCCCCACTGTCCCCCTGTGTCCCCCACTGACCCCCTGTGTCCCCCCTGTGTCCCCCCTGTGTCCCCCCGTGTCCCCGCTGTGTCCCCGCTGTCCCCAGGTGCCCCCAGCACGGCCGAGCTGCGGATCTGCCGCGTCAACCGCAACTCCGGGAGCTGCCGGGGCGGGGACGAGATCTTCCTGCTCTGTGACAAGGTCCAGAAAGGTGCGGGGACACCCCAGACCCCAAACTGGGACACCCCAGACCCCAAACTGGGACACCCCAAACCCTGGGGACACCCCAAACCCTGGGGACATCCCAAACTGGGACATCCCAAACTGGGGACATCCCAAACTGGGGACATCCCAAACTGGGGACACCCCAAACTGGGGACATCCCAAAGTGGGGACATCCCAAACCCTGGGGACACCCCAAATTGGGAGCATCCCAAACTGGGACATCCCAAACTGGGGACATCCCAAACTGGGGACATCCCAAAGTGGGGACATCCCAAACCCTGGGACACCCCAAACTGGGAACATCCCAAACTGGGACACCCCAAATTGGGAGCATCCCAAACTGGGACACCCCAAATTGGGAGCATCCCAAACTGGGACACCCCAAACTGGGGACATCCCAAACTGGGGACATCCCAAACTGGGGACACCCCAAACTGGGGACACCCCAAACCCTGAGGACATCCCATCCCCCAATCCCCATCCCCCACCCCCCAATCCCCCCGCCCCCCAACCCCGCTCCGTGTCCCCTCAGAGGACATCGAGGTTCGTTTCTCGGCCGAGGGTTGGGAGGCCAAGGGCTCGTTCGCGCAGGCCGACGTTCACCGCCAGGTCGCCATCGTGTTCCGCACGCCGCCCTTCCGGGACCCCGCGCTGCGCGCCCCGGTCACCGTCCGCATGGAGCTGCAGCGGCCCTCGGACCGGCAGCGCAGCGCCCCGGTGGACTTCAGATACCTGCCCCACCAGGGTGGGCTTGGGGAGGGGGCTGCAGGCACCCAGGGGGTCCCTGGGGTGGGTTTGGGGGGCTCTGGGGTCCTGTTGGGACATTCCCAGGTGATTTTGGGACGTTCCAGTGTCCCTGGAGCTGCAGTTCCCACGGATTTCCTGTCCCTGCCCCACCAGGGTGGGCTTGGGGAGGGGGCTGCGGGCACCCAGGGGGTCCCTGGGGTGGGTTTGGGGGGCTCTGGGGTCCCTTTGGGACATTCCCAGGTGATCTGGGGACATTCCTGTGTCCCTTTGGGACGTTCCCGTGTCCCTGGAGCTGCAGTTCCCATTGATTTCCTGTTCCTGCCCCACCAGGGTGGGCTTGGGGAGGGGGCTGCGGGCACCCAGGGGGTCCCTGGGGTGGGTTTGGGGGGCTCTGGGATCCCTTTGGGACATTCCCAGGGGATTTTGGGACATTCCTGGGTCCCTTTGTGACATTCCTGTGTCCCTTTGGGACGTTCCCGTGTCCCTGGAGCTGCAGTTCCCATTGATTTCCTGTTTCTGACCCACCGGGGTGGGCTTGGGGAGGGGGCTCAGGGCACTTTTGGGGTCCCTGGTGTGGGTTTGGGGGGCTCTGGGGTCCCTTTGGGACATCCCAGGTCCCACTTTTGGGTTATTTTTGGGTCTTTATTGTCACCCTGGGACACTGTGGGGTCTCCTGGGGTCACTGGGGGTCACTGGGGGGTGACAGGGGGGTCACTGGTGTCACTGGGGGGTGGCTCTGAGTGACCGGAGGGTCACTGGGAGTAACTGGTTGTTACTGGGAGGTCACTGGTGTCGCTGGGAGGTCACTGGGGGGTCACTGGGAGGGCACTGGGGGGGCACTGGGGGGGGCACTGGGGGG